GCTGACGTAGCTCTTGCTGGAGGCCTAAATTCTTTTCTTTTTAACTAAAAATAAGCAAGATTATCAATGACTATGTATCTACCTTTTATCTAGCTCAGGCTTTTAACTGTTGCTTTGCTAGTAAGTTCTTTGTGTTCCTCTGTTTACACTTGAAAGCTGTCCTTTGGTGACTGGTAGACTGTTCTGTGTGTGTTGTACTCATGTGACTTGTGTTGTTGTTGTGGCATGCTGGTTTCGTGAACTGAGGGAAGGGACAAGTTCTTAGCTGTTCAAGAATGTTCTCAGCCTTTGAAGTCTCCTGCAAGTGGGGCCCAGTCCTTGAGAAAGCAATGGATGTTTTAATTTCCTAATGATTCTTTTTCATCAGGTAGACCCTGACTTTGAGGAAGAATGCCTGGAGTTTCAGCCCTCAGTAAGTATGGGCAAGAGCCTTCTTGTCTTCATGTGGTAGGGTGAGGCCAAATAATCTGGAACCTCATTTAAGAAACTGGTTGTTGAGTGCTGGGGAAGGATAAACCTTAGGCTGCCTTAAAAGAAGGTCTTGTTCTGTGCTTCCCTTGAAGGCAGTCATATCCCTGTGTGTCCTGATTGGTCCTAGGGATTGTTGGTCATAATGCTCTTTCAGTGTGCTTAGTCAAGGGGTCTTCACCTCTGAGTCAGAGAAGTTGACAGTATCTCTTGGAATCCTAGCAGATTGTAGGCGCTGATGGCCTATGTAGAAGCTGGCCTTTTACAAACCATTGCCTTGTTGCTGCTGACCTTAATCCATGACTCACTCAGACTTTCCAGGGAATGAGCACATGAGGTGGCTAGCACTGTTTAGACTGTGAAGGTAACATGTGACGTGCAGGCACCTGGCATCTGATACCCACTCGATTGTTCAACCTTCTGTCCCTGCTTTTTGCCAAGTCAGGAATAGGCTTTAATGTATAATGTGACGTGGAATTTTAATAGACTTCCCACAGGTCTCTGAAATTTAACTGCCAGCCTGTGGCCGAGCCCTGGGTCTCAAACCATAATCAGGTCAGAGTTTATTTTGAAAGTGGCGTGCAGTGTACTTTGCCAGGTGACAGTAGCGAGGAGAGAGCAAATGTCGTTCGGAGTTCCTTCCCCTGCACAGAGGGGTAGAGGTGTGCTGTTGCTTTCCAGTTAACTCTTATGGTAGTATAGACAGAATAAAGTGTCTAGGGTTTGTTTAGGTAGAGGTACAAGTTATTGGAGGAGAAAACACAAGGGGGGAGGGAAGAGACAGAAGTTTTGGGTATTAAAAGAACTATTTTGTTTTGGGTTTTTTTTTTTTCCAGATAGAAGTGGAACTCTCCTGGTGAAGTTAGGTTCTTCTTTGGTCTTCCTGGTGAAGTCTCCTTCCTCCTGTTTAGAAAGGAGACAGCGCTTCAGCCTAAGAAAAGCCAGTGACAGAGAAAATGTGGTTTTCCCAGTAGATGCAGGTGGCTTTTGTTATCTTGCAAGGATGTTAAACATTAAAAATAATCCCATGTGGAGTCAGTGCTCAGAGAGAGCTTGCAGAGTCTATTAGAGCAGACGCTCAGTAGAAGTCTGCTTCTTTAATGAACCCAGGTAGCTCAGTATTTCTAGTTTCCTTCACTCCCTTCTTCCTTCACCAAACCCAGGCAATCTCTTGGTCAATTAAATAAACAATTGAAAAGAAATTCTAGAAAATGGAAGACCTGAAATTCACTGTGTGCGTAGTAAATTTTATTAAAGGTTTAAGAAGTTCGATGAGTATTCTTTGGTTATTTGATTAAATTTAACTCAGTTTTGTTGCTTAAGAATGCATTTTTGAAGAGAAACAACTATAAATGGGACAGAAGCTTATTTTTGACAAAATCAACAATATTGGTAATGGCTAACATTTATTGAGTGCTAACTACATGCCAGGTACAATGCTAAGTACTTTACTTGCGTTATATAATTTCATCCTCACAGAAAACGCTGTGATACAGGTATTATTATCTACCCCTTCTTACAGGTAAAGAAACAGACTCAAGAGTTTAAGCAACTTAAGTCAGTGAGCGCCATAGCAGAACCCCAAATATTTAATTTCTAAGACAGATAGGGTTGTTTGGGCAGTTCTTCTAACTATTCAGCACAGCGCTGGTTGGTGGACCTCTGCCAGTGTTTGTGAATTTTGCATATGGCCTCTCGCACTGAAAATTCCTTTGTCTTTCATTATTCATGTACACATTGCTGCTTACCTGCTCACCCAGCAGAGCCAGGCTGTGAAACTGACAACTGCAACGCAGGTGCCGTCAGAATTCGAGGAGTCCTTTTTCCTGTGCTGGCTACTATTCCTGTCCCTCTCAGAGTGACAGATCTAAGGCAGTGCCCTTGGAAAGGAGAACCTTACAGTTACAGGAAGGCCTTTCATTGCCATTTGGTAAAATGATCACTGCTTCTTGAACTCGGCTGCATTGTTAATCCCCTGAGAATCTGAGGAAAGCTAGAGATCCCAGAAAACCCTACATGTGTGCACAGCTTTGCATACTCTGGGTTTGGAACCTCTGATTTAGATTCTTTAAAAAATAATAATAATAATAAGTCTTATTGAAATGCAATTCACCTAAAGTGTTCAATTCAAGGCTGGCCATTTAGCTCAGTTGGTTAAAGCATGGTGCTGATAACACCAAGGTCCGGGGCTCAATCTCTGTACCAACCAGCTATGCCCCCCCAAAATTGCTCAGATTCTTTAGGAGATTAGCAGAGTTGTGCAACCATCACCAAAATGAATTTTAAAACATTTTTATCACCCGCAAGAGAAACACCATACCCATTAGTAGTCACTCTCACTGTCATTTCCCCACATCCCACCCCCAGCCTTAGACCAATCTACTTTCTGTCTATATTGTAATTTGTCTGTTCTGGACATCTCATGTGAGTGGAATCACATAGTATGTGGTTTTTTGTGCCTGGCTTCTTTCACTCAGTATTGTTTTCAAGGTTCATCCATGTTTTAGCATGTATCAGTATTCATTTTATTACCAAATAATATCCTGTTATATGGATAATACCACATTTTATTTAGCATATATCAGTTGATGGCCAAGTCATTATTGCCTTTTCTTTAAGCTTTTATAAAGGATCTGGTAAAGAATTTGGACTGGTTTCTTAATAGCTGGATAAGAAGTGCTATATCTAGATAAACAAGCTGTGTGGGTTATATGCACTTTTTGGTAATTATGAATAATGCCTGCTATAAACATTTGTGCATGTTTCTACGTAGACGCATGTTTTTATTTCTCTTGGATCTATACCTAGGAGTGGAATATTGGGGCCCAATAGTAATTCCATGTTTAACCTTTTGAGAAACTGTCAGATTCTCAGTGTGGATGCACCGTTTCAAATTCCCACCAGTAGTGTGTAATGGTTCCAATTTCTCCACATTCTCTCCGACACTTGTCATTGTCTTTTATTTGACCAATCCTAATTAGTGTGAAGAGGTATCTCATTGTGGTTTTGATTTGCATTTCCTTGATGGCCGATAATGGTTGATCATCTTTATATGTGCTTATGGACCATTTGTGCATCTTCTTTGGAAAAATATCTGTTCAGATCCTTTACCCATTATTTTTTGCCTATTTTAAAAAACTGGATTTTTGTTTTATTATTGAGTTGTTAGTGTTCTTTATTCTAGATACAAATGCCTTATCAGATACATAATTTGCCAATATTTTCTCTCATTTTGTAAGTTGTCTTCTCATTTACTTGATACTGTCTTGTGAGGCACAAAACTTTTCAGTTTTGTTGAAGCTGTATTTATCTATTTTTTTCTTGGATTGCTTATGATTTTGGTTTCTTACCTAAGAAACCATTGTGTAATCCAAGGTCACAAAAATTTATGGTCATTAAAAAAAAGTTTTATAGTTTTCATTCTTTATACTTAGATCCTTGATTCATTTTGAGATCATTTTTAAAAATGGTTTTCAGTAGGGTATATTGCTTTGTAAAGCTTCCTTTCTCATTGACTGCCTGCTTATTACCTACACAGGCACAGGTCTGTAGAACCCAGTTGCATTTCAGTTTAAGTAATTTTCCATACATTGTATCCTCTGTTCTGGAAGTTATTTAATGAATTTTTCTTAGCATATAATATAAATGTCATTCCTAAGTGTTTCAGTTATGGATAGAAAAGAAAAGAACCATGTGATTTAAAATATCACATTGTTTTATCAGAATATGCTTCATGGCATTCTCTTGGTGAAGAGGGAATGAGGTGCTGGTGGGCCATATATCCCAGTGTGTTGGAAGCCCCCATGATCCTGTGGGGAGGGAAAGTTTAAGTTTCTAGGTCAGCTGGCTAAGCAGCACTGGTTGGTTGGAGACTCCTGCTTCTATATTCCCTCCATTCATTACTGTTTCCTTGTTGGCAGACTTTCTTTGTGGGCAGTTGTCCATCATTAGATTGATTCTAAACTCAAAATCAAGGGAAGCCCTGTGTTTGCACTGGAAAAAGCATCTGGCCTGGTCTACCAGTGTATTCACTTATGATCTTGGACTGCATCTTTGCTTTTTAAATTCTTATTCATTCTTGCCTTTGGCCACCAATCTAAGAGCCAGGAGAGAACAGAGCCTCTTATTCATTGATCCTGTGGAGTCATAAAAAACCTGAAGAGGAATACAGTTATTTCTCTCCATCTTAAAGCTGTGCTAAAATTTACTTGTTTGAAGATCAGAAAGTCTAGGGTTAGGTATATGAATGTCCATGAAATGTTATCCGCAAAGGCATTTTTGTGATAGTTACTAGTTGAAAGAATCCTTTAGAACCAAAGTAAAAGAGAAAATGGCAAATCTTGGATATATTAAACAAGATAATAAAATTGCAATAAGTGTCAATTAGATGTGTTAAATGAACAGTAGGAGAGCATCCAGCTCTGGCTCTTTTGAAGTTGTCGTGATATCAGGGCTTTTGAGTTAAAGATTGGGAATAGCATTCCAGAGGAATTGATAGAATGCCTTTTGTGTCTTAATGAAATTTGACGTAGAACTCTATAGAATGTAATGATCCAGTTAAAAGGTAAGCCCCAGGCTTTGGTAATACTTTGAAAATAATCAAATGAATCCAAGTCACTCAGAATAAAAAACTCAAATCTCTTTGTCAGATATCTTGTTCATGTTGTTTAATTTATATTCATGCTAGTCAAAGTAATTACCACTATGATCAGCCTCTCCTGGCCTTACTTGTAATGTTCAGGACAGCTATAACAAGGGAAAGCAGAAGATCTACTCAAGAGATGTGCCTGGTTTGATCTGCTCCTCTGTGCCTTTCCAGTGCCATTTTCTAGACTTAGGCTATCATTATAAATTCCTTTTAGTGAGAATGATTTCCATTCTTCCCTCTCTGCCCCAGTCCCACCAACAATTAAAGTTCCAGCTCAAGTTTTCTGTAACAGAAAATTTTTGTAACTGAGTCCTGCTTGGAAGACTCAAAAACCAACTGGCTGCCTTTTAATGTGTACCTGTTATTACTTAGGATTGCTTGGTGTCCGTTCATCCTGTCTCACTAATGGGGTGGTAGGTTCTTTAAGTGCAAGAAATATGTCAGTTTTTTACTTCTTTAAAAGTAAAGCAAAATTCAGAACATTGCAAAAATGATCCATGCTCACTGTAAAAAGAACCAGTAACAAAAACGTTTTAAAACCTCGTGGAGAACAAAGAAGCAAGTAAAACCACATTCAGTTAAACCATTCAGAGTTAACAACTGTTACTTTTGGTTTATGTAGTTTCAGACAGGTCTCTGGGCACATGGAGATGACTGTGTAATTTATCCTAAATGTGATCATAAGCCATTTTTACGTTTTTTACTGAATAGTATGAATATTGACTGTCATCATTTAATAACTCTATAGTATTCTATTGGATTCACTATAATTAGTCCATTATCAAGACATTGGGTTGTTTACAGTTTTTTACTGTTATAAATAATGCTTTACTGAACATCTTCATGCCTCATTTTACAACTGTTCTAATATCTATTAAGGAAAAAAATCGAAAAATGGGATTGCTAGATGAAAGTAAAGATCCTTTTACATATTATACAGCATGTCAGACTCCTTTCCTTGAACATCTTCATGCCTCATTTTACAACTGTTCTAATATCTATTAAGGAAAAATATCAAAAAATGGGATTGCGGGCCGGCCCGGTGGCGCACTGCTACAGTGCGCCGTTTGGGAAGCGCAGCAGCGCTCCCGCCGAGGGTTCGGATCCCACATACAGACCGGTTCCCGCTCACTGGCTGAGCGAGGGGCGGGCGCAGCACCGAGGGTTGCGATCCCGTTGCCGGTCCCTGTCCAGTACGGGCGCGACACTGAGGGTTGCGGTCTGTTGCCAGACACGAAAAAAGACAAAAAAAAAAAGGGATTGCTAGATGAAAGTAAAGATCCTTTTACATATTATACAGCATGTCAGACTCCTTTCCACAGTTTTACCTAATTACACTCTCACCAACAATGCACGAAACTCATTTCCCTAAGCTCTTGTTGATACTGGATTTATCAGTGTTTAAGGTCTTTCAAATATAGTACAATAAAATGTTGCTTTAATTTATGTAAATTGTATACCAAAGAGGTTGAATGTATGTTTCCATGTTTATTGTCCATTTGTACCTCATTATTAAGTTATTGGTTCATTTCCTTGTCCTATTTTCATTTCTAATATTAATGTTTTTCTTATTGGTTTGTAAGAGCTCTTTATGTGTATGCATTAATAATTCTTTTATGCTGTGTGGTACTTTTATTTTCCCAGGCTAGGGTTTTTCTTTCAACTTTGTTCATGACTTTTTATTTATTTATTTATTTTTTGCTATGCATAAGATAAAATTTACCCATCTTTTACTTTTAAGATTTAGGGATCTTATATTTTGTTACATAGTTTAAAAGGCTTTCCCAACCACAAGATTAGTAAATATTTACTCACATTTCCTTCCAGGAATTTTATGATTTCATTTTTTGTTTATTGATCCATGTAAAAATTTCAATTCTTATCTCTCGTGACAGGCTCTAACATACACTCAGTAAGTGCTCTTGTTGCCCTCTCTCATGCGTGGTTTGTACTGAGATATTTATTCACAGGATAGCTTGTATTTAGAAATACAGCAGGTGACGATCACCTGAGTCATTATGAATGATTTTCTGTTGTAAATACATTAGAGTGGGACTTGGACCAGAACCGTTTGCCTAAGTTTAGATTGTCTAGTGCTTGTAGTGGAAAACCATTTTGCTATCTCTTTCTATTTTAATACAATATATTCTAGACCTGTGGCTTTAGAGTAAACTTAAATATTCCTGTTCCTAAAACCTTTCTTTTTTTCCCTTTAGGAACTCTTATGTTCGGCTCAGACACCTATGCACTAACACCTGGGTTCACAGCACAAATATTCCTATTGACAAGGAAGAAGAAAAGCCCGTGATGCTAAAAGTAAGCCCTGGAGCTTGGCTGCCTCCCCTTGGTCTCATGCTCCCTGATGAAAGGCTCCTTTGAGGACAGATGGGGACTATGGAGCGGTTGAAGTTTCTGTTGCTTTGGCAAGAGTGTGCTTGTGGCCAAACTTGAATGTGATGAAAGAATTCTCTCCAGGGACCTGGGTGACACAAGCCCAGGGCTTTTGAAATAACAAGAACCTTTTATTTTATTCCATGGCTTCTGCCCTAATGGTTGAGCAGTTGTCTGGATTTTGTGTCTGTGTAAAGGATAGTTTTGGCTGGGGGAATGTTTGCTTGTGCCTTGAGGTACATCACATATCTAGGTGATTTCCCCCAGTCTTTCTTATTTCTTTATTTCTCCATGTTTTTAAATGTACACTTTTATTTATTGAAAGTTCCCCCAGCCCCTTTACTTCCTCTCCCACCTCTTCTTCCTCACTCTCTCCAGGCACATAGAGTATAAATATACATACATAGGGTTTTTCTTTTAAAAAATTGAAAGACACTCTCACATAACTTTTTTTTGTTGTTGTGGTGATGGGGAAGGTTATTTTTCTCTTTTACTTTTATAAATGCTTTCATTTTTATAGTAAAGTTTAAAGAATGGTACAGTATTTACCTTTATAATACTCTCCACTTAGAATCAGTAATTACCATTTTTCATATTTGCTTTTTGTGTATTTAAAAACATGTCCTTTAATTACAAGAATCTTGCTCCCTGTTAACAAATGAAGCTATAAAATAATAGTAGTACCCACTTTCCTGCCTCACTGCTCCCGATAATACCAGTTTCCAGAGGTAACACTTTTAGCCATTTGGAATACATCTTTCCAGATGTTTTCCTATATCTAGTCAACTTTAATTGCAAGATAGCTCCAAATTTTTTGGATCACCCAATATTCAGTAAAAATAGTGTTTGATTAATGTCTTGCCCTCTCAAATCAAGAGACTGTCCCACAAAGACCACCTTGAATTTCAGATTGGCACATCTCCCGTGAAGGAGGATAAGGAAGCATTTGCCATAGTTCCAGTTTCTCCTGCTGAAGTTCGGGACCTCGACTTTGCCAATGATGCCAGCAAGGTGCTGGGCTCCATTGCTGGGAAGCTAGAAAAAGGCACCATCACCCAGAATGAAAGAAGGTGAGGGATTCCCACGTGCCCAGCACAGCCAGCCATGCCCACTGTAGGGTTCTGAAATCCCTTGCGACTCTCAACAGCTGTGTGTGAGGATAGCAGGCCTAGCATTTATGGGTGGCTTCCATTTGTGGTTTTCAAGAAACAGTTATTTTTGAATTTAGTTTTTTGAGAGTCTATAAAGTTGTAAAAATGTCTCTCTCTCTGTCTCCCTCTCTCTTACCTCACTCTAACTTGGTCTCTGGAACTGCATTTCTAAGTGTCAAGTATTGAGGTTACTCTGAGATAAAATTTGATGGCTGATATTTTGTGAAGGTGTCATCCTTTTGTGAACAATATTGTCTGTATGTCAGTCTTTTTGGTAGTTGGCTTCAGTTGTCTGTTTCAAGGAAATTGGAAGATTGAGTCTGTTCCTGTTTAATCGGTAGTTCAGAAGGCTTTCAAGGGCAAAGCTTCCAGCCCAAACACTTTCTCTAACAGCTTCTTTCCTCCTAAGGTCTGTAACCAAGCTGCTGGAAGACTTGGTGTATTTTGTCACCGGTGGAACTAACTCTGGTCAAGACGTGCTTGAAGTGGTCTTCTCCAAGCCCAACAGAGAACGGCAGAAGCTGATGAGAGAACAGAATATTCTCAAGCAGGTTGGTGAGATGTGACATACTAGGGAGTTGGATCTAAGAAATCAGTGGGATCACTGCTCTTATAGAGGGTCCTTGATGATTCCCACCTGGATGGCTTGGTCAATGATGAATATGCTAATAATAATAAAATAAAATAAAATATCCTGCTATAGGAAAAAAAAAAAACAGTTGAAAAGAAATTAAAAAAAATTTTTTTGGGGGAACACTTTCAAGTTCATAGCAAAATTGAGTGGTAAGTACAGAGTCCCCATGTGCCCCCCAGCCCACACTCATACAGTCTCCCCCATTATCAGTATCACCCACCAGAGTGGGGCATTTGTTAAAGTTGGTGAACCAACATGGACATGTCACTAACACCCAAAATCCATAGTTTACTTATGGGTTCACTATTGGTGTTGTACATTCTATGGGTTTTGACAAATGTATAATGACATGTATCCACCATTATAGTATCATACAGAATAGTTTCACTGCCTGAAAGATCCTCTGTGCTCCACCTGTTCATCCCTCCCTCCCCCCAACCCTTGGTAACCACTAATCTTTTTACTGTCTCCACGGTTTTGCCTTTTCCAGAACGTGATCTAGTTGGACTCGTCAATATGCAGCCTTTTCAGATGGGCTTTTCTTGCTTCATAATATGCATCTGAGGTTCCTCCATGTCATTTCATGGCTTGATAGCTCAGTTCAATTGATTTTTTTCCCATACTTGTTGAATGTCAACCATGTGGGAGTTCCTAAATCCTAAGAAGCATTCAGTTGACATTATTTTCCTCAAAAATAGTGTAAAATACAATGTGTCCTTAAAGTTATTTCATATGTTTGGGAGATTTGGAGTATTTGATTAGCTCAGAAGGCCTATATAGGCTCTTGTAGGGAGTCCTCTAAAGCATCACAAAATCTTTCCATAAAGAGTGAGTAATGGCTTACAGGAACTGCATAGATGGTATTATTTGGTGTAAACTTAAATCCGCTGGTGTAAAGACAGATTATAGGCAGGAATGTAGCAAATCCAAGGTACATGGAATACACAGAGGTGCATACCATATTCTATAAAACTGTTGGAGGTTGGCCCGCATGCTTGGCTTGGAAATTCATGGCCACCAATGCTGGAAGAGACACAGTTCTCCATAGGAACTTGGTATTTGAAATCCTTTCTCCTTTTGGTCTATGATAGACAAAATTTGTTAACAATCCATTATGTTTCAACAAGGATGTTGAGTCCAGGAATAAATTATGTCCAGCTGTTTCATGTGATAACTCCCAAATTAGACCTCTGGCTTAATGCCCATGCACATTTCCTCAGTAGCAATTCCTCAAGGGCCCCAAATAATTGCTTCAGTGGCAGGAGCCTTCGTTGGTCATTTGTGTCAGGTACTATATTTATCCAACTTACAATTATTATCTGCTTTCATCCTTACAACACCCTCATGTTATTTCCATTTTCCTGGTGAGAAAACAGAAGTTTACTTTGACCATTATCTATGTATGGTACGAGGAAGTAATAAAGGTGCATGATTTCAGCATAGAATCTGCTGATTCCAGAATCTATGCTCTTAGCTTTGCTCTAGACACTGCACTGTCAAGTGTATGAGGACCAGTTAGGTCCAGGTGGACGAATTCAGTGAGTACCCAATCTCGGTTGATTGACTGAATGCAGTTGTCAGGTTATTGATGGGTTTGGATAGAAACACTTTCCCACATACTCCAGCCACCTTAGGGGTTGTGTTGCTTTCAGTGTTATAACACACTAAGTGACGGCAGCTTTTGCTCTTTATTTTCACAAACAGATCTTCAAGTTGTTACAGGCCCCATTCACAGACTGTGGCGATGGCCCGATGCTGCGGCTGGAGGAGCTCGGGGACCAGCGGCATGCTCCTTTCAGACATATCTGCCGGCTCTGCTACAGGGTCCTGAGACACTCACAGCAAGACTACAGGAAGAACCAGGTTGGGATTAAGTGTTGGTGGGAGTGGTTGTCAGTTTTCTCCTTGAAGCTTATGTACTGTCCTCATGGGTTTTAAGTGTCACATATGTATTTATTTAATGGATAGAGAATAGTTCAGTGTTAAGTTTGCTCTTGGAAGTGAAACACAGATTGCTTGTAAGCCTGGGAAGAATATATATTACAGAATCCTTTAGATGGATACTGGAGAGTTCTCCTTCTGCAGCTACCTTTCAATGAAACTTCTGTGTTTGATGGTATTACATTTATAGTTTTTTTTTTGTTTGTTTGTTTTTTTTTAAAGATGACTGGTAAGGGGATCTCAACCCTTGACTTGGTGTTGTCAGCACCACTCTCTCCAAGTGAGCTAACCAGCCATCCCTATATAGGGATCCGAATCCGTGGCCTTGGTGTTATCAGCACCACACTTTCCCAAGTGAGCCATGGGCCGGCCCTTATAGTTTTTTTTTTTTTTTGATGGCATATTCCCTTAAGCTTTAGGGGTAAAATGATTTCATGTGTTTGTAGTAAAGATACAGAAAAATACTTTTGCCCCTCTTTCATATCCTTTATCTCTTTCACTAACTTTCCCTTTATTTTGGTTCTGGGTCATTTTTTATTATATTTTAAGTCATTATCTTTAGATATATGTATACATTATATATAGATATACATAACATACATATATACATGTTTATAGATAAGTATACATGCACACACATAATGCACAATATATATTCTCCCATGAAATAAATGTTATAACCTCTTTGGGGGTTCCAGACAACTTAGAGTCTAAGAAAACCTGAGAATTGTGTTGCTACATCATTGGTTCTCAATTGGGGGTATTTATGTCCCCCAAGGGACATTTGGCAATGTCTGGAGACCCTTTTGAGTGTTACAACTTGGGAGTGATACTTGCATCTAAGGAGTAGAGGCTGAGGATGCTTTTAAACATCCAACAATGCATAGGACATCACCCACCACAAAGAATTATGCCCAAAATGCCAATAGTGCTTAGCTTGAGAAAACCTGTACTACGTAAAGTACTGTGGACATACAAAATGATGCCAATTATAATCTTGGCTGTAATCATTTAATGTTGGCTGTCCCTGCTTGTGATACAAAAGGATCCATAAACAGCTGTTTTTAGGATTTCAACTACCACTATATCTGGTCTTTAAATTTAAACTTTCTTTTTGTAGTTAATGGTTTTTGTTGTGTTGTCATAAAGATAGTGTCAAACTTAAGTAATGCTTTACAAATATAACCTTAACAACCTGTAGTTGCTTTAAATACACCTTCAGTGCATTAATACAATGCAAATAGTGCCAAAGAAATTTCATTCTGCCCCAGCTTCACCCCGCCCTCCTTTTTTTTTGGCAGCTGGCTGGTATGGGGATCCAAACCCTTGACCCTGGTGTTAAAACACCACGCTTTAGGGCCGACCGCGTGGCGCACTCGGGAGAGCGCGGCGCTGGGAGCGCAGCGATGCTCCCACCACGGGTTCAGATCCTATATAGGAATGGCCGGTGCACTTACTGGCTGAGCGCGGTGTGGGCGACACCACACCAAGGGTTGCGATCCCCTTACCGGTCATGAAAAAGACAAAAAAATAAAAATAAAAACACGCTCTAACTAAATGAGCTAACTTGGTCAACCCTCTGCCCCATTTTTTATTCTTTGTATGAGGCTACATCAGGGCTTATAGTGTATGCTGGGACATTTTGCTTGTCCACAGGTAAACTAAACCAGGTCCTCTTGCTATTGCTGGATTGGACATCTTTGCTTAGTTGATTATGGATTCTGTGCCACTTAGAATCCCCAAATATGCATCCTTACTGAGTATAGGCTGAAGAGTGGCTTATGTCCATCATATAAATCCTGAATAGGCAGGATTTACATGATGGTCTGTCTTGGGCAGGGAAATGTGTTTAAGTGGAAATAACCATTTTTAAGAGGCTTCCTTTAGCTCACAAATATTTCAATGAACAAATATTTCAATGAAATATGATGTCTGATTCCAAAAGAGGGAAGCCAAGATGTATTCATATGTTCCTTGAATATGATTGATTGGCTTAGATATTCCAAGTTTTCTTCTGCTACCCTTTGACTTTAAAAATTTATTCTTACCCCAGATAATGAAAACAAAACTGGGTAACGTTATTCCAAATATGTACTCAGGTAGGCTTAATCTGTGTTTATTAAGCAGCACAGAGCAGTGGGGCACAGTTAAGTCTTCTTGAATTAGTAATAAAATCAAAGCTAAAGAAAACAGCTTTTGACCTTTAAAAAGAAGTAAGTCACTAGATTAAAATTTATATTGTGCACTTAATAAAACATCCATACCTAAGTACAGAGTATTTTGCTTAATTACATTTCCGTGGCATCTTTAGTAAAATAGAGGATGCGAGGGAGTCCACAGCTGTTGCCCTAGGGTAGGAGGTTGTAGAAAGATGCTCCACTGTAATTTCCCTTATGAGTGGTAATTCTTATCAGGAATATTGTTCCTTTCTTTATTTTGAACTTAACCATATTGTCTTTTATCCTTCCTGCTGACCTCTCTTTTCTGTCCCTAACAGGAGTATATAGCCAAGCAGTTTGGCTTCATGCAGAAGCAGATTGGCTATGATGTATTGGCCGAAGACACTATCACTGCCCTTCTCCACAATAATCGAAAACTTCTGGAAAAACACATCACTGCAGCAGAGATCGACACATTTGTCAGTCTGGTGCGAAAGAACAGGGAGCCCAGGTGAGGCAGGGGTGGGGCTAATCAGTGGGGCTAAGGTGTCTACATTTAAGATGCAGGGGCTTAGCTGGTCCTTTGGAGATGCAGGAACTTAGCTGGTATCTTGCACTAGGCTTCCTTTCCTTGGGTGGCTAGTGGCAGGTTTTGATTAGTTAGGTTGAGAGGCTCTTTGATGGGTAGTGACAAGAACACAGTATTAGAGAGAGACCCTGGTGGAATCCTAGCTCTAAAGTTTAACAGCAAGGTGACCTTGACTTCTTTCCCTGAGCTTTAATTTCCTCCTGTGCTAAATGGGTAGTTATGAAAATTAAGTGACAATAAATGTATGTGGGGCCGGCCCGGTGGCGCACTGCTATAGTGCGCCGCTTGGGAAGCGTGGTGGCGCTCCTGCTGAGGGTTCGGATCCCACGTACAGACCGGCCGCTCACTGGCTAAGCGAGGGGCGGGAGCAACGCCGAGGGTTGCGATCCCGTGGCCGGTCCCGGTCCGGTACGGGCGTGACACTGAGGGTTGCGATCCGTTGCCGGTCACGAAAAAAGACAAAAAGGAAAAAAAAAAAAAAAAAGAATAAATGTATGTGAAGTGCCTGGCATTTCATAGGTGCACAGTAAATGACAATTATCATTGGCCAGTCATTCACTTTTTAGCACCTCCTGATTGTCAGAACACTCCCCAATGTTCTCAGTAAGAGTTTTGCAAACTCAGTTGTTACTTGAGTGTCTTTATTGTACATCAGTGAACTCCATTGATTTTATCTCATTCACACAGAGCTGCCTTTATTTTGTCCCCTCCCCACCGGCTCTTCCCCTTTTTCTTCTTCTAATTAGACCCACATCATTTCAAGTGAAGTGGGAAGCAGTTTACAGTACAGGTTTCACAAATAGTCACACTGGAGAGCTGACAGGGTTGCTATAAAAATGACCACTGTCACCCATACAAATGCTCAGCTTTTTATGGAGCCTGCTCACGTGCCAGATAGTGAGCTAAGGATGCACTTTACATGATGGTTTCATTTAATCCTCAGGATGGCCCTCAGAAGTCACACATCGTCCTTTCTTGTAGGTGAGGAAACAGAAGCACAGGGAGGTTAGGTAATTTCCCAGGTAGCAGCGTGTGTGAGAACTGCCTATCAGCATCAGAAGCAGGCTTCCAGCCGGGCTGGCAGGTGTCCATGCCTCGCCCCTGCCTCCTCTGCATCTCCAGCATTTCTTCTCATGTGCACGCCTTCCTCGTCCTGCTCCTTCTCATTTTTACCTCGTCACCTCTTCGTCAACCACAACCCCTGCCTCTTCTCTCTTTTGCTGCTTGCTTTCTTCTTCCCTCTGGCATCTGGGTTTCAGGCGGTGCCATAGACACTGGCACTGAGTGTTGCTGACTTCTTTTGTCAAAGGTCTGCTGGACCTGTGCACCTGACCAAGAGGCAGGCTCCAGAAGCCAAACCAATACTCCATCTAAGAAAATGTTTTGTTTTGTTTTTGTTTCTGGGTAGATTCTTAGATTACCTCTCCGACCTTTGTGTCTCCATGAACAAATCGATTCCGGTGACCCAGGAACTGATATGTAAAGCTGTGCTGAATCCCACCAACGCCGATATCCTGATAGAGACCAAGTAAGTGGGGGTCTAGGGATTTAGGATAAAGGTGAGGAAGGGGTTTAGGTGGAAAACGAGTGTTTCAGTGGTTGCTTATGCTCATGAGTAGTAAAACGTAACCCTTTAATTTGCAGAGTCTGTTTAAAGTCAGGTGGGCTGGCATTTGCTTTTCCTTTTGGAAAAGTCTTGGTTAGACTTTTTACTATTATTATTATTGGGTTTGTTTTTGGTGTGGTCTTCTCTGCACAATGGTATCACTAATTCTGCCTACTGGTTTAAAAGTCACATAAACTCACCAGGGAGCATTTTATCTACACTTAGTATACTTGTAATGATTTAAAATTCTTTTCATCAATTTAAAATTTTAAAGGCCATAATTAATATTTAGTGTTAATATTGTCAGTTTCGGAGAGAGTTTTAAGTTACGACCATTCAGAAAGTGTTCATTGTTCAACAGAATTTTAGTAATATAGTATTTAGTATTAATTCATTTTTGGCAAAGGAGCAGTTTTCCTGAACCAGGATAGTGCCAGTGATATGGACAGTGTTTTAAAACAATACTAAGTTAAGCCCTCAGCTAGTGATATTTTTTTGGTTTCTCATGCATAACTTAATTTTGGGCTTGGGCTAATGCAGTTTCTGGACTTGGCATTTTGGCATTTTGGTCTGATAATTCTCTTGTGGGGGCTGTCCTGTGCAATGTAGGATGTTTGGCAGTACCCCTGGCTTCCACCCCTAGATGTCAGTAGTACTTTCCCTTTCAGTTGTGACAACCAGAAATGTCACCAGATATTGCTGAATGTCTACTGGGGGCAGAATCACCCTAGTAGAGAACCACTGGGTTAAACATATGAAGAAGTTAATGTTAGGCTCTTTGTGGCTCTGCCAGTGGGAGAGATACGGCACAAAGTGGCTTTCTGTGCGTCTTTATGCTGAAATGAAGCTAGGTTTTAGCAGATTTCAAAAATAATGACTTTTCCCTCTTATTTTCTAGGTTGGTTCTTTCTCGTTTTGAGTTTGAAGGTGTCTCTACTGGAGAGAATGCTCTGGAAGCAGGAGAGGATGAGGAAGAGGTGTGGCTATTCTGGAGGGACAGCAACAAAGAGATTCGCAGTAAGAGCGTCCGGGAATTGGCTCAGGATGCTAAAGAAGGACAGAAGGAAGACCGAGATGTTCTCAGCTACTACAGGTGAATGGGAGAGGTGTTAGGCTCAGCTTGGAGTCCCCCAAAGGGTGGTATTAGGAATTTATTGCTTGTTTCTTGGTTACTCCAAGGAATCACAAAATGTTATCCGGTAAGATTTTCTAGCAGAAAGACAGATGTGTATTTTAGGAGTTTAGGGTGTAAAATCGCCTCAATACTTGGTTAGCTGATACCTGGCTATGTTTGGGTCACAAGAAGGATGGGTGCTTGCATTGGCCCCAGGTCAGCCCTAGGACAGTGGGTCCTTAAGCAACATGACAAGTGCATTTTGCAGTAGTTAAGAGTCAGTCTGTGGAGTCAGACTGCCAAGTTCCAATCCTGACCTCTCTACTTAGTACTAGTTTGTTGACTTTGGTCAAGTTTGACTTTATGCTCCAGTTTCTTTGTCTGCAAAATAGAGGCCTGTTGGCTCAGTTGGTTAGAGTATAGACTTGTAATACCAAGGTCAAGGGTGTACTTAGTACTAGTTTGTTGACTTTGGTCAAGTTTGACTTTATGCTCCAGTTTCTTTGTCTGTAAAATAGAGGCCTGTTGGCTCAGTTGGTTAGAGTATAGACTTGTAATACCAAGGTCAAGGGTTCGGATTCCTTTTCCGGCCAGCTGCCAAAAAAAAAAGGTGATAGTGCCAATCTCATAAAATGTTTACAGACAGAGCTAGAAAATGTGTGCGTGTACACACATATATCTATATATTTTTGTATATACATATGCATAGCTATCTATATGTTTCTATATATGTCTCTACAAACATATAACAACCATGAGTTTGCACTAATACTTCCAATTCCGTTCCAACACCATGGGGTCTATCCTAACCTTCACTCTTTCCGTTTTCATCACTCCCTCTGGCTGCCATTATTTCTGGTGTGTTCACCTGTTCGCTTATTCCCACTGTATGTCACCTATCTCCTCCTCTCCTGGTCACCTCCTTGGTCCCCAGTGTCTACTTGGCTCCAGCTCTAAGATCTGCTAGTCCTGCCACTTGGAAAGAAGGGAAGGGAAAGAAAATATGGAAAGTAAACCAGTAAATACTTTTAAAAGAAAAGGGAAGGGAAGATAAAGCAGTGCTTCTGGTATTTTTTAATAAAATAAATAAAACTTTGCAATTAAAATGCCATTCCTTACCTCCCATATTCTATTCTCTTCCCTTCCGTTCATGCAGATGGTGTGGATCCTTTCACGTTCTCTGTGCGTTTTATGTTTTACTACATTTGTATGCATCCATAAATCATATGTAGTATTCTATCCTTAAAATTTTATATAAATGTTACCAGACTTGGATACCATTCTAAAACTTGCCTTATGTATTCAATGTTGTTTCTGAAATGTGTCTGTGTTAATAGAGGTAGATCCATTTTGTTGACTGCTGAATAATATTCTGTTTTATTAAGGTGCCACATTTTCAAGGCTGTTTGATATGCCACAGCTTAGTTCTTCATGTCAGGGGAAACATGATCGTTCAAATCTGTCTGAGCAATGTGTGAGTTTCGTTTCCACACCAGGAGCCGGACTGAAGGATGTTCATATTTTAAACTTTACTGAGCAGTCCTAAATAGGACATTTCAGTGTACATTCCCACCTGTTGTAGATGACAACTTTTGCTTCCTCATGTCTTTGGCTAACTTTGAAGATTGTTATGCTTTTTAATTTTTGTTAATTTTAGGAGTATGAAATAGACTCATAACTGAATTTGCATTTCATTGATATCCAGTGAGGTTGAGAGTATTTTCAAATCATGGTTATTGGTAATACATAGGGTTTTAAGTTGAGAAGACATGTTTGCCCGTTTGAAAGTTTATTGCTTTCTGATTACTTCACATTGCAAGTACGTTTACTCAAATGCTTGATGAATCTTCTCCCAAGTGAATGAGAGAGTGCTCTCAACTGGTCAAGTTCAGGTTAATAAAGTTCACTTTAATTGGATGAAGAAGGAAAGTGAAGAGTCCTCTACTTTTGTACATCAAATGTTTTCCAAATGTGTAGGAGCTAAAGAATGACTTACATGACATAAGATCTTGAAAATATTGAAGAATTTCTAATTGGACTCAATATGGGTGATACATTTAGTATTTTCTACCTGGTCTTTAATATACTGTGTAAAAATGCAACCGAAGAGGTAGAAATAGACAACCATCTCAAGCCTAACCATTTTTTCCCATCTATTTTATAAGATAATCAAAGGCATAATGGGATCCAGTTGTCACATAATTGCTCTGACACAGCTGGACTGTGTGTGTCTGTTGGCTGTCAGCCCACAGTCTGTGGCATGGCTTGAACTGTCCCTTTATCTGCTTGGTACAGAAGCAACTCAGGGGTGTTGATGTTTAGGTTTAGGTGGCTATATGTCTCTCCGACGGGCCACCTGGACTACCCTGCTGTGTGTTTCCATTCATCCTGAATGATTTCTGGAGAGGAATTTTTTACTATGTAAATTTTGTCACTTTTCTTTTCCCAGGTATCAGCTGAACCTCTTTGCGAGGAT